ATAGAGCGGTCTTTCCCTGCTATTACTCCAGATTCTAGGCATCGACATTTAGTGCACCTGGACCTATGCTTAGATGACACCATCAATTTGTCTAGAAACCTCCCTGAACACCTAGGTTTGTCCTTCCAGACATCCTGTGCTAGGACAAGAGTTGGACTCAATGATCCTTGTGGGTCCCTTCCAACTCACAATATTCTATGATTTCCCTAATTTGTTTAACCACAGCAGGAAAAACCATGTTCTTTTTGAGGCCAGAACACTGTTTTTCTGTTTTTCTCTCTGTGCTCTTCTTAATCCATTCGTGTCTTACAGCTCCCTCCTTGACCACTGCAGAGCACAAAGCTAATCTTTGCCGAAAACTTTTCACAGGAATTCTGAAATCTTTTTCCTCTGAGCTCTTTTACAGCTTGTCATTGCATTTAGGTAGTTAGGCTTACTCCTTCCCTTGTGAATTCCTCTGTACTTATTGACATTGATTTTCATCTACTCTTTTATCACTCAAGTCATTCAGCATCCAGCCAGACAAGAAAGCTCCAAATTTGGATTCCTTTAGCACCTAATTTTTTACTTAAAAGAGTTTTTTCTCCTTCTTATTTTTCCTAAGTAGAGCTACATGTGCAATGCAATCACTTTTAGTGGTTTGTCTTCTCGAACAAACCCACTGTGTCCCAGTAGCTATTTGTGGCATAACGTTGTGCTGTCACCTCCTCACACTACAAGGTCCTGACATTTCAAGCAAATGTCATCGTGTCAGAACTTTCTATCAGCACAACTCACTGGTGTGATGCACGTGGTGCTACAAGTTCTTGTCTCTTCAACTATCCAAGAGGAGCCAGCATGATTTCATCACATATGTATTTAATATCTCAGAGCTTAAAGTTTGGATCTGCAACGCTACCTGGGTAGTGACAGCAGATGTTTTCTCTCAGAAACTGTAAGATTGAACTTTGAGCTGTATGCTGAAAATCTTTAATTCCGTCATGTTCCTATGGAAACATGAGAGAATCCTTCTTCCAAAGCAAGCTAAGGCCTTTGGCTTTACATGTGTAACATGTGAATTACCCGTTTCTGTGCCCATTTGCAGGAGCCAGTTCCCAGCACTGGAACTGTGCCACTATCAGAAAAGAAACAGAGAAAAGTCCAATTTAACCTCTACAATCTGCTGCAAAGAAACCGTGAGATGCTTCTTTCCATCTCTGTGGAAGTCATCCATCCAAAGACACTTTGTGGGAGAGCAGGGCTTCTCTCCATAATTAGATTTGATTCCAAGACAATCAGCTAAAGTCAGGAAGGGATTGGAGCAGTTGCTGTGTGAGGGGCATGTGCAAATGGGAATTTAGGGCTTGGCCAGACTGAAAACTCTGTCACTTTGCAGAACATCCTGAGAAATGCAAGGTAATTGAGATTGCTTGGCCTCCGTGAAAGAGGGGTGAGCAGAGAAGTGCTCTGTGATAAGAACACATGCACATGCCATTGCCCTGGAACAGGATGATAAGTGGTAACTTTATATCCCGCTTTTAACTTATTTGGATGTGCAAGCTCTTTGTCTAAGCTGAAACGCAAAATAAAGTTGTGCTCTATCAACTGATCAGAGCTGGCTTGAGAGCCAGAGTACATCCAGGTTATGATGACTGTAACTGGTTAATCAGAGCAACCATCAGACCTCAGCATTGAACACCATGAGTGACTGTCAGCATACACTGCTGATAAATCCAATCCAATACATATGGAACTAGCTGAGAGAGAAAATTCTGCCTCATTTAAAATCACATTATCCAACCTGCCACCCTTCACTGGCTTTTGGCCTGTCACACTGACTAATGGACAGGCGCCCTGAAAAATAATCGTTGTGAACCTAGGAATGGGTAAGAGCCTCTTGTGTTTGACAAAAGCCAATTAAGATCAGCTAAACCTTCTATTATGCCTCTTCTGAATCTACCACATTGCTTAAAGAGCTCAATTGTGTTCCCAGTTGTCAAGCAAACACCAACAAACATTCAAGAACTTGCCATTCAGTGGGCAAAATAATTAGAGGAGCAGTAACCTTCAACAGCAGACGCCAGTGACAGGTGACATATGCCAGTATCTTGGATGTCTCATTGAACAGGGCACCAACTGGGGCACAAAGCTGACAGGTCTCATGGCAGGTGAAGACAACTTCCAGAAAGCCATGGATGCCAGTGAGATATTGATGCTTATACAACCAGATCCCTCTGCAGCTTTTGACAAAGTGCTCAGATACAACGGATGTGTTTATATTGTATAATGAGAATAAATGGCCACCACTGCTGTGGCTTCTCCCGTAGCATTCAGATGTGCAACAGGTACCTGCTGCTTCTCTTCAAGGTTCTTGTTTCGTGGTCCTGCAAAGATCAGTCCTATCTTGGCATGAATTAAACACAGGTATTGGAATGTAGGACGAGAAGCAATCTTTTGGGTCATTTAGTCCTGTCATCTATTATCTCAGCAAACCTGCCATATGATCCCCTCCAAAATTAATGAACTTCATCTTAAAAGCAGCAAGTAATTTTTTTTTTTTCCTCACTGCCCTAGAGGCTATTCTGAAACTTCACTGCTCTGATGGTCAAATATCCAATATAGGTCAAAATGATGCTCTTTAGACAGGGATGTGCTGCAAAGAACTAAGGAAGATGCTGGTTTTGCCTCCTAGCAAAAATACACAGCTCCCATTCATCTCAGTGATCTGAAACATCAGTTCCTTGACTCCTAATTGACTTTGAATCATCAGGTCACAACTCTGTCTGAATCCCTTCCTTTACCTCAGCTTAACAGTGAAGTTTGTTCTTTCTCTCAAACAATGAGATAGTCCTGAGGTTTTCTCACCGTTACTTCCAGGCTAGAATATCTTCTGTGGATTTCTGTTTGACCAAATAAGATCTGGTTTTCCACATATCATAGAATCATAGAATCATAGAATGGTTGGGGTTGGAAGGGACCTTAAAGCTCATCCAGTCCCACCCCCCCTGCCATCAGCAGGGACACCTTCCACTAGACCAGGTTGCTCAAAGCCTCATCCAGCCTGGCCACAAACACTTCCAGGGAGGGGGCATCCACAACTTCCTTGGGCAACCTGTTCCAGTGTCTCACCACCCTCACAGTGAAGAACTTCTTCCTAATATCTCATCTAAACCTCCCCTCTTTCAGCTTAAACCCATTTCCCCTTGTTTTGTCATTAATTGCCCTTACGAAAAGTCCTTCCCCAGCTTTCTTGTAGGCCCCCTTCAGGTATTGGAAGGCTGCTATATCATCCACCTCTGTGGCTTCCAGCCCATGCAATAGTTGCAGCGCTGGCTGAAGGCCATGATTTTAATTGCCAAAGCAATCAAGGAATTAGTCCCTGCTACACAAAAGTCTAAAATTTTTGATCTGTGAACTGCTGCATCTGTACTTCACAGCATAGCTCACAGCGGGTGGAGACTGAGGGTAAATGTTTCAGACAAGGGGATCTGGCTGTAAAACAGCATTTTGGAGAAACACAAGATCTGATCGCTTCTCGGAAACATTCTCAAAGCTTTCTGTCTGAAACAGATTTTCCATCATTTCTGTCACCACGATGACAGCCAAAAAAACACATTGTAGTGAGGGTTCATCTCACCAACTTTATCTGTCTATAGTATAAATGTTTCCTTTGGAGATATTTGCTGTCGTCTCCTTTTATAATGAATGTGGAGGAAAAGGTGTTTCTAGAAGGATTCATATAATCTCTTCTGGATATCTGCTTTAGGGTGAGACGAATTGCACTCTAGAAGTAGGTATTTCTCTCTACTGATTGGAAGAGCTCCAGATATTTGCTTGGATGCACAATGTAGATGTCTGCTTTTTGCCAAGTGATTGCTACCCTGCTAGCGAAAGAAACCAAACAAGAAGATCCTAATATTCAGAAATTCATATGTTCCAAGCAGAATTTTCACTTGCATAGAAAAGGTTTCTACATTCTTTTACTGTTCTTTTACATTCTTTGAGTGTCTTGAAGACACTCAAATATTATGCTGAGCAGCATTCTGCCACCATAGGGTAGATGAGATGGATGACTCTATTAGTATCTGCGGAGTTATGTTTAATTTATACTAGCATGAAAGAGAGGTGAATGGGGTCCTTAACTCCTTATTCCTGCCTTAGTCATGGACTTTCTCTGTGACCTTGTGAAAATTGCTTTATCTGTTACTTTCCTGGTATGTAAAATTAGGATGATCACACTCACACACGGCTATGAGGTCTAATTAGTAAGTGTAAAGCACCATGAAATCCTGAAATCTTCTGATGGAAGATGCAAGGTATAGTTATCTTGGGATAAAGATGATTAAAGGAGGTTGTGCTAACATAATTGAGAAATGATGCTTAGGGGGAAGTGAAACAGCACATATCTACAGACAAGGAAAGGAGAATCAGCAGTCTGTAGCTGTTGTCAGCAGACCTCAAGTCCACTGACAGGAGTATGTCTACAAAGGAGGTTTGGACAATGAAATGAATCACTTAGCAGAGTTCAGAAACAGGTGAAATGCTGTAGATTAGTAGGATCATCCTAGGAAAAACCCTTCCACAATTAGCCACCTGAAATTTGACTGACCTGATGGATCTTTCGCAACCTTTTCCATCACCATTTCTGAAAGATTCACCAGTATAACATTTTCCTGTGAACATTTTCATTTCTGAACATGCAAGACACGTAGTTATTAGAAAACCTTTTCCTTTCAGCAGTTCACCAAATGCCATGCCCTTCTCTAGAAGCAAGCAGGGATTTCTAAATTGCATCATGTGCCAATTGGAAGTGCCTTCTGTGGAGTGGTGCCAGCTCAAAGCTCCTGATAATCAGGACTCCCACATGTCCAACTCTCATCTCATCCCCTTAAAATGTATTGTTTCCACCAAACCAGTGGCCTTACTCTTTCATGAGTGACAAACCAGACACCATCTTCTATTCATCTCATAATTGCCAGGTTGCCCTGACTTTCTGACTGTCTTGCTTTTTTCCTCTTCAGGCATCACCGTGGACAAGTTTGGGCTGATTTACTTTGTGGATGGCACTATGATCAGGCGGATTGATCAGAATGGGATCATCTCAACTGTACTGGGTTCCAATGACTTGACATCTGCTCGGCCTCTCAGCTGTGACTCCGTCATGGACATTTCTCAGGTAAAATGATGTTTTGGTTGGGTTTTGACAGAATAGAAGCCTGTGCCTTCACCCTAGCTGCATGTCTGTGTGCCTCCCCAGGTTTGAAAAAGAGGTAAGAGCTCAAGGAGAATTACATCTCTCCATATTTTGTGGTATGAAAATGACTCAGTCAAAAAGAAAGATCCTACGATGACTGAAGGAAAATTCTAACTGACTTAACTCAGACATCTCTGGGGAAAGAGATTTTAAAGATGTCCCAGCCACAGAAGAGACTTCTTTCAGAGCTTCCAATCAGCTAGGAGACAGAGATTCCTGGGAAACCAGGTTTCATTAGGCTCATTTCTCAAGAAACCAGTTGCTTTCAACTAAAAAGACCAGCCAACCATACTTATTTTAGCAGGACTATATGCCATGCTCTGTTATAACAACTTAGCTAACCATGGGTTTTTTTTCTTTGCTTCCCCCCATCCTAATTTGGCCCAGCACAATTGTAGACCTGAATCAAATTAACATCTAGGAAATACTGATTGGAGGCTGTGGTGCCAAAATTAGCAACAGCAGGAAAACAAGAATCTTGAATTGCATCAGATTGCAAATTGGTTGCAGCTACCATCATGCTGGGCTTTTAAGTCCTGCTGCTTAAAGGTGGAGAGAAAAAAAAAAAAAAAAAAGAGAGAGAGAAAAAGAAATCTCAGTTTGTCTCTTGCCTTGCTTCTGGATGGTGCAGAAGAGAAATCTCTTAAAGCCCAGCACTCAATTTTGTGGGGTATTGGCCAACCTGTCAAATGGTGCCAGTTTAGAGATAATGTCCTTTGAAAACTTTGTGCCACTTGTTGTTTTCCTGGCTACAGGAATGTTGCCCTCTCCTATGAAAATATAGATCATAGCTGGAGGGCTAAGTACTGTTATTCAGCCACAATAGATGTCAATGGGGTTTCCTTTTTGTAACTACCTAGATAATTTCCGTGCTCCCATATGGAATCTGTTCTTCTTGGTTTTCCCTCTAATTTGAAAAGATTATTCTTGCTTCTTTGCAACTGGTTCCCACTGTCTGTAATTTATGAACAAGCTGAAATTATGAGTTTAAAAGCTCTCATGCCTTCTATAGAAGCAAATTTTTCTGGTTAAAGGCCATCTTGGAGTATGTTTCTCATCTTACAGGGATAGTTTTTTTCTTTATCTGAATTTCAGGGGCAGTTACCACAAGACTATTGTGGATTCAGGCTTTGAAAATTATTTTCTCTCAGGTTATGTGGTTCCTGTGTATACCAACATTATATTTAAACATTTCTGAGATGAGCTAAAATGTGTCAGCTGGAGACTCCTTCTTTCCCTTCAGAAAATGAAGCAAGCCATTCTTAAATTAACTTGTACTATGATGGACAGATTAACTGGGACTGTTCTGGACAGATGCACTGAAGACAAGTTTAATTTAAAAAAAAAAAATAATCCAAACTAGGCAAAGAAAACCCAGCGTGGGAAGTAGCTTTTCATCATTTAAAGTGGCTAGAAGGGTCTTTTCTGTCAAGTCCCTGAGGCTCCCTGGGACATGGGGCCATGAAATATTTAGCTGGCAATGTTGACAAGGAATGGTTTTTAAGAAATTGGAAATTCCCTTGTCAGTTCAGAATAAACTCTGCTCTTGATGCTAACTCAGGCTGCGGAGCTTAAAGACCACTGGAAGGGATGGAGGCATGCATTATTAAAGAGAAAACCACAGGCTATAATGTTTTACTACAGGAAGGGTTAAAATAGGCCAGGAGCTGAGAAAAGGAAGGTGATTTTGAAAAGAGAGACTCAGACTAGGCAGAGCTCAGCACACTGCTTAGCCATGAGAATGAGCTCCACAAGCCCAGCCATTATCAGGGACAGTGAACTAAATATCTTGCATCTGATGCTTTTTTTTTAAAAGAAAAAGAAAAAAAGAAAAAGAAAAAGGAAAAGGAAAAGAAAAAGAAAAAGGAAAAGGAAAAGGAAAAGGAAAAGAAAAAGAAAAAGAAAAAGAAAAAGAAAAAGAAAAAGAAAAAGAAAAAGAAAAAGGAAAAAGGAAAAGAAAAAGAAAAAAAGTTGAAAAGCGATTTATACATGAATAGAATCATCAAAAATAAGGCATGGCTGTGACAGAGATGTTCAACTACAGGCTTTAAAAATTTGAATCACTTGTGTGCCTCTGGATCTTACCTGCTTTCTTCTTATTCTTAGTTTCAAATAAAACCACAGTGAGAGTCGTTTTTCTGGATTTGAGCTTGCTGGCATTTTCTCCTCCTTCTTCCAATGGGGTTGCCACCTCATAGATGCAAAATATCCCCCCAGACTTAGTCATCTCAGACAAATGAGAAGCAGCAGAAACTGAGATGGACAGTGGGAGAGGAAGGTTTGCAGCAAAGAAACAGGGAGATCCTGGGATTGCACAGCCTTGAGTGTGCCCAGATCCCAGAGATCTCTCACAGCACATCACTCTGTTGGGTACAGAGAAAAAAAACAGGCGTGAAGGGAAAATAGCAAAAAGTGGGCAGGTTCTCCATCCCTGGAGGCATTCACAGCCAGGTTGGATGGGACCGTGGGCAGCATGATCTAGTGGTTGACAACCCTGTCCACAGGAGGGGGGGTTGGAACTGGATGATCTTTAAGGTCTCTTCCAACCCAAACCATTCTATGATTCTATTATGCTAAAAAAAGGGGGGGGGAAACTGCTGTGAAGACACAAGTATTTTATTCTATGAATTTAATTGCCCGAGTTTCTTATGAATTGCTATTTTGCATTTTTGCAGCATCAATCACAGAATAGTTGGTTATAACTTGGACATACACACATGTTGTCACACCTGCCAGTTTTGAGTCTATCCCTCCTTGTCATTTACCCAGAGGAATTGGGCCATTTGTCTGGAAAATCCTTTAGTAAAAGGATCATTTTTTTGTTTGACTGATTTCATAGTACTTCACACAAAATTCCCAGTTCTGTGTCCTTTCTATCAAGTCCAGGGTCCATCAATTCAAAGAGCATAGGTTGTTTCGGAGAGGGAAAATCCCATTTGAATCTTTGGGTCTTCTTGTTTGCTCCTGCATTCCCTGGGCACTGTTGCCCTTTCCCACAGCCCCTGACACCTCACACCAAGGTAGAGAAGCAGAGAGAAGCCATGGTGCAGTGCAAGAGTTGAGAAGGGTCTGCCTCCTCCTCTCCCTGCTCCCACCAGTGCTGCATTGCAGAGTGGGGATGTCCATGTGTGTTGCCCCCATGTGACAGGGAGCTATGACCCCTCACTCACACCAGGGTTGTGTCCTCAATGGCCACCACACCAAGCACTATTGGGTTTCTTTTACCCTTTCTCCCTTTAATCCATGGTGAAACATCCTCATTGTGATTTATTTAGAGCAATCACACAATGAAAAACGGTCTTGTTAGAATAATTTCCTTGTGTTCTTTTACCCTTAAGGTTCGTCTAGAATGGCCCACGGATCTGGCAGTCAACCCGATGGACAACTCGCTCTATGTCCTGGACAATAATGTTGTGTTACAGATATCTGAGAACCACCAGGTGCGCATTGTGGCCGGGAGGCCCATGCATTGCCAGGTGCCAGGTATGGATCACTTTCTCCTTAGCAAGGTGGCAATCCATGCCACCCTGGAATCTGCTACCGCTCTGGCCGTCTCACATAATGGGGTTCTGTACATTGCTGAGACCGATGAGAAAAAAATCAACCGCATCAGGCAGGTCACCACCAACGGTGAGATTTCTCTTGTTGCTGGAGCACCAAGCAGCTGTGACTGCAAGAATGATGCAAACTGTGACTGCTTCTCTGGGGACGATGGCTATGCCAAGGATGCCAAACTCAACGCGCCGTCCTCCCTTGCAGTGTGTGCAGATGGGGAGCTGTATGTCGCTGATCTTGGAAATATCCGAATCCGATTTATTCGGAAAAACAAACCATTCCTCAACATGCAGAATCTCTATGAGTTATCCTCACCCATAGACCAGGAACTCTACTTGTTTGACACCAGTGGTAAGCACCTTTATACTCAGAGCCTTACTACTGGAGATTATCTTTATAATTTTACTTATTCCGGTGATGGAGATATAACCCTGATCACTGACAATAATGGCAACTTAGTCAATATCCGAAGAGATTCTACAGGGATGCCCCTCTGGCTGGTAGTACCTGATGGCCAAGTCTACTGGGTGACAATTGGTACCAACAGCGCACTCAAGAGTGTAACAACACAGGGGCATGAAGTGGCCATGATGACATACCACGGCAACTCCGGTCTTCTTGCCACCAAAAGCAATGAAAATGGTTGGACAACGTTTTATGAGTAAGTATATTACAAATATTATGCTGCTGACTTCATGCTGTGTTCTCTGAACCGTGCAAGGCTGATAGAATTTAATTCCCTGAACACAACTATTGTCCAAATAAAATGGCCAGAACAGGCAATATTAGATCTCACACAAACACTTCGTACTAGAAGTAAACAAGTTAGAGTTTAAATAAACTCCCTTTACCAAGTCAAGAGTCAGACAGAGTTTCTGCTGAGTTTTTCTGAATCAGTGAAGTAATTTGGGCACCTGGTTCTCCTTAACTATAGTCGGGATGGGGGATTTAGGCTGCATGACAGAGAATTTTGATTGGCTTTGGAAAGCCTTGGAAGTGTCAAAGTTCCATCAGATCCTCTTTTTCACAGCTTTTCACCTACTTCTTGTGCTTCAGGGTCTTTCTTGAGCCTGTTTGAAATGGCTAATGTAGAATGACAACTGTCAATGAGTAATGACAGCTTGCTTAGAAAACAATTCTGTAATTAATGGACTGCTCTGTTTCTATTGTTGTAACTGGCCTCACTAAGCTGTAAATTAGTCTCAGTTCAAGACCAACCCTGCCCCAAAGAGTTCTGTAAACAGAGAGAAGACAGGATGCATTGAAAAACCCAGAGAGGGCAGTGACTTGAAGATTTGTACTTCTTTTTTGTATTCCTGGTAAGAATTCCCTGAGTATAAATACCACGAAGACAACACGCTTCTGATATCAAATAGGAAAAAAGTAGGTAACTCAGTGAAGGGCATCTAGAAGGATGGTCTGCAAATTCATCCCTCTGTTGAGAATCCTTTCCTCTCTCTCTTCCTTAGTTTCATCTTTATTTTCAAGTCTAGCCTCTTTGAAAAGCTCCTTTTAGTGCATGATTTCACATATGGTTTGAATGGTTACATGGAAGTGTTCAGCTACCATAATAATAGACCCATTGCCAGAGTCTGATTTGGCTATAATAGACAGTTCCCAAGATTACAAAGAAAACAGAGAAAAAAACCCAAGAAACTCAGGGAAGGAAAGCTGGTTAAACCCACATATTCATGTGTTAGACATGCGGTTGTTTTGGTTCTTTCTTTAAAATGTTCCAGGCCTAGTTTCAAATTTCTTTGCTTAATACTCACTATTACTGCTCTTTCCTCAAAAAGAACTGATGGAAACTCTGTGATGAATCTTCTGAAAGGTTATTTGCATTCCATCAATGTTCTGCTTGCAATTACCAGAGCAATATTCCTCAGTGAATCAAAGCTAATACCCTTCCATCTCTTACATTGAATTTGCTTGAGGGAGGCTTTAGGGAGGAAAGATAGGGTGTTTTTCTCTATCAGAGTGGAAGCCTGCTATATTGTGCTAAATCAAGGAGGTATTTTCTTTTTGCAAAGAACCCAATAGTTCTTGTGCTTGAAAACAGATGTAGCCACGGACAGTGAAGCAAACTAAACATTACAGCTAATAATGGTCAGATTTATACCTCAAACATGTTCTTTTATTTAAAAGTGTGACTGAAAATATAAAGGGGATAGAATGAGACAGAAGCTAAAATCCAACTTACTCTATGGGTATATTTATAACAGTGATCCATTATTTCTTGCTATCCAACAAAATAGAGCATTTGTGAAAGTCATCATTCTGGTCCTTTTATGCACTTCAGAAGAGTCATAAGAAAGCTTTTTAGAGCTAAATGTAAGCCAGTATTCTCCAGTGGTTAGACTATGGAAATCTTGACTAGAGCAAGTCAGCACTATGTGATAGCACAGCATCACTGAAAATAGAATTGAGAGTGTGTCTTCAGAGATATTTCATCCAAACCTGTGATCAGTTATCGCTATTTAACTGTTCCTGACAGATTCTGATGCAACTTTACACAACTACAGGGTAAAAGTCTGTATCTGAATTAGTTACCTCAGCCTCCCTTTGTAGGCAGTGGAGAGAAACAGGCACTTTCAAGGTAAGTTTCTTATGATTTGTGTCAGGTATCTACTTTAACATGAGATGAGTTGTATTCTCAAAATTTCTCTTTGTAAAGGTAGCACAGAATTATTAACTCAGATACAGATGTTTACATTGTAGATGTCTACAATTTGGACAAATGGACCCTATCAAAGTCATCTGAGTTATTCATAAATATTACAAGCGATAACAATTTCTTTATCTATCTTATTGTTATTGTTGGAAAGGACTTTTTTATAGGCTTAGTCTAAATCTTCCTTGCTTGAATTGAAAACTGTCACTTTTCATCCTGTCCTGTCCCATCCTATCTGATCCTGTCCTAACCTGTCCACTAGGGACTTGGAAAGCAAATCAGTCTGCTCTTCTTCTCGCCCGTGAAAAGTACATATCAAATGTCTCAAGAACTTGCTTTTGATAGCTTTCAAAAGATAATCAGCACTAGGGAATGATCCAATGGGGTTGTTTCTGGTGAATCATCAGGGATTGATTTTACCCAGGTTTTCCACTCATAATCCAGGAAAAAAAAATAAAATCAGAACTGAAAGAAATGAGACTATTAGTAAATAAAGATAAGATACTTTGATTGCTTGATAAAGTAGGTTTTGTTTAAACAAAATATGTTCTTACACAGTCTAATGCCAGGGTACACATGTAACAGGTCAAATCTAAAGAACGGGGCTCTGCAACCTCTCACAGATTGTAGTGAGCAAAGCATCAGGTCCTCCAGTGTGATCTCTCAGCATAATTCCATGGCAAATCTGTCGAACTCATTGCTTGGATGAACAAAATTAATACATGTACTCATCCCACTCTACTTGTATTGGTTAGCAGGAAGCTGATTTTGTCCCTGTACAGCACTGATGAGACCAATACTGTCAGTTCTGATGTTTGCAGGTTTTGAAGGACAGTGAAAATTGAAGGCTGTGCAGAAAAAGACACTATAAAAATGCATTCATGGGGAGAAAGTGCTTTATGCTGGAGAACTAAGAAGATTTGATCTATTTATCTTAACATGAAGAAGACTAGGATGTGTCTAGATCACAGCATGTCAGCACAGAACTATCACCTCCAGAAGGACTCTTCATCTAGCAGAGAAAGGCTTAAGAAGGGTAAGGGGCTGGAAAGCAAAGCTGGAGACATTCAAGTTGACAGGAAGGCTGATTTTTTAAGGCTGAAAATACCTAACTGGTAGAGCAACCAACCATGAGAAGCAGTATATTCTCCATTTCTTGGTATCTTAGATCATGACTCTGGATGTTTTTCTTAAGATATATTCTCACCAGCCAGAGGATTTACATGAGTCAAACACAGACTGCAGGGATGAGTGCAGGCATGTCAGGGTGAAATCTAAGTTCCTTGATATCCAAGAAGCCGAAGAAGATGGTGTAAAGCAAATCAACATTCAATACCTTCAGGTTATTGGTTTCTGTATCAGAACATCAGGAATTTTAGATTGGGGAAGTTTAAGTGATTTAGAGAAATCCTGTGATCATGAGTGGCTGAAAGGTGCTCTGAGTAGCTTTCAGTCCTGGCTGAAAGAGAAGGTGAAGCTCATATTTCTGTTTTACTTGTGCCCAAAGAAATAAAGACATCAAATCTGACCCTGAGGTAAAGCTTCATGTATCTCACAGCACATAAGAGTTGTTTATGGGCCAGGACAAGCTGCACACCACTGTTTAAAAAGTTAAGAGTACACGTAAATTCAGCTGGCAAGTTTACACTGCATCAGTGGCCCCATGAAGAACATCCTTACAAGATTTACTTTTACCTGACTGTCTACAGACACCATAAATCAGACACCCAACATGAAAGAGCAATGGTGTTGCAAGAGTTGCAACACTCCATGTGTACATGTCCAGCATCACTGGTTCTCGTTGAGTTGTTGCTCTTACCGGGGCATTTCTCAGCCTTTATCATAAGGCTGCAAAGAGCTGTGATATATGGGCACGTTGGTGTGAGGAGAGGAGAGGAGAGGAGAGGAGAGAAGAGGATACAATTAGTTGTAGAGTTGGTTATTATTCCCCACTCATGTGGGTTTCATTTCTTATATTTTGGGAAAGAAAGGAGGAAAAGAGAGGATTCGGTAAGGATAGGAGAGGAGAGGAGAGGAGAGGAGAAGGAGGCAGGATAAATTGATGCAATACTGGAGGTCTGTCCCCACTGCTCTGTGGGGACATTGGCTCTTCCTTCATTTCTGCAGGAGGAGACAGGTGCTGTCTTCAGGTGGTGACAGACTCGTTCCCAGCACTTACAACTCTTCCTTTCACACATCCTACCCCAAATCCTGCTGTAACAATCCTGCTTCATTGGGTTTAGCGTTGAGTAATGTTCAGTATATAATGGTGTGTAGTTTCTCTTTCTTTTGAGAGTGAAACTTAGCTCCCTGCAGTAATTAGCCTGTCCCCAAAGGCCTATCTAAGACTTCTTTGAGGGTTTTAGTATTATATAGACCTTCTCTGTCTCTGCAGAGGGCTTGACATTTGCTGTCAATTAACGCAATGCAGCTCAGCTTGTCCAGTAACTGGATTAAAGACTTGCCTTCCCGTTGAACCTGTGACAGTGATAATCAGCAGCAAAGGAAGTTGATCTGAAAACTGCCAGAGGAACGACTTCTTGTTGTTCAACTCCTCAAGTCAAAGACAAAGGATGCTGTGTAACTACGTGCTGCATTTTTGTTGCTGCTTTTTCACTTGACCTGAAAAAATTGCTACCAGCCTTTACAAAGTTTCTTAGCTTTGCTGTTTATCTACTCCAGAATCCAGAAATTCTTATTAATGTATTTGTTTAAATCAAGAATACGGCAATTATCTTGATTAGCTGATTAAGATAGTATCACTGGACGTTAATTGAATTTCCCTCTGAGCCAAAGTCAAACCTTCTCTGCACTATTTAGCCCAGATGAGGTTCTTTTGCTTAGGTCCTTTGTGTGCCCAATTAGTTTTGAAGGTCACCTCCTCCCATACAGAATAAAATACTTACACATCTTTGCAGCCAAGCCCAGAAATTCAAAACCTTTTCATGGACTGCCCAAGAAACAGCTCACAGCTGCTTGGAGGGCAAAGG